AAACGAAGGGATCAGGAAGTAGGAGGAGAGTGTGAAGAAAAAAAAACGAGAAACAAGAATCTAATACGATAAAAAGAAATAAAAAGAAAAGATTCGAATAAAAATCATGAATTTAATTGAAAATCGAGGTCTGAAGCAATTTCGCTTTGTGAAAAGATTTTACTTTTTAGCATCTTTCATAAAAAAGAAATATTGCTAATTAAATCTCATCTTCAAGTTTTTCATGATGCGCCATCATCTCCTTACATTCCCAGCAGCCATTGCAGACGTGCTACATACACAGAATGCCTTTCTTTTGTCGTCTGTAATCAAAACACTACAGATTAGTAGTTCGATTTACTTGTGAGACTTTCAAACAGGGATTTAACTACCGATCATTTGCCCAAAACTAAGAAATGTATAAATCGAACAAGACGAGGATGTTCTAAGATAAATGCTAATGATATTACAGCCCCGAAATCATACTTGAAATTATTCTTCCTATATTCTTCAAATAAAGCTTCCTATATTCTTCAAATAAAGCTTTTTTTGCAGGTACAGCTTCATTTTAACAGTATTCAGTCTATTATATATGCTAAGCTGACTTTACTCTAAAAAAAAAAAATAAAGTACACTTACATTTTTATCTAAATATATATTCGTCATTTTTTATAATGACTTATTGCCACTTGTCAGGCAGCTCATAGATACCATTTGACCAATTTTCCCTTTATTTTGATGTGAAGCTTGTGACGAAGTCTTGAGCCTGGCTTTTATTAACAGATTGCGGCAACTATTAAGGAAATGTGATTAAATATAATTTAATGTTTAAAAAAATATTAAGTATTATTATTATAGATAATAAGCATTATGAAATAACTATATTGTGGAAAACGGAATTTTCGACAATATATGCATTTTTTAAAGTATTTATGTTTATTTTTTTATAACTTTTATCAAAATTGACGTTCTTCTACATGTAGTTATGGATAATGTACATTAATTACTAATTTTTTAATTAATAATTTGTGCTCAGTTATTGATATTAACAGCTATCTGCTGATGTGTTAAAATCTTGGAATAATGCAATAATAAAAATTTAAATTTCATTTCTCTGGTAGATGTCCGCGATCTGTAACAAAAGTTTT